CCTCCTGCTCCTCCTCCTCCTCCTCCTCCTCCTCCCGAAACATGCGCACGCAGGGGCGCCCGGCTCCGCGCCCTGGCGCCGCCCCCCCCCGAGGGGGGAGGCGAGAACACCGGAGAGGCATCGGCGCCGAGCCGCGCACCGCGCAGGACTTCGCGCCCTCGAGGGCGCCCGCGGAAACTCTCCGAAGTTGGTGTCTGGTCGGGCCTGTCGCCCTACAGGGGTGTTTGGGACGAAAGAAATACTCAAAAAGTATTCCCCAGATCGTCAAAACTAGTTGAACACATCGTCCCCAGACTATGTTTTTACTACTTCGGCTTTGCATAAACCTCCTTTTAGTAAACCTCCCCTTAGTGAAAACGGCCTGGGACCGAAACCGACAGACCTGGACCCGCAAAAATGACTGCCGCGACGCCCTCTCGCGAACCGACAACGGCCAATTCCTGAATCGACGTGTCAGGCTAGGATTTGGACGCCCGACATGGGTACCGAAAAAATGGGTACAATGCCCAACAGCAAATGTTGTCCCAAACCAACAGCGGCCGCTGTTGGGTAGGCGGCCTCCTGTCTCGAATGGACACAGGCCGCGGCGGCCTGGACAGCGGATCCTGTTCAAAATGAACAGGAACTGCTGTTGGGCATCGTACCCATTCTTTCGGTACCCATGTCGGGCGTCCAGATAGGAGGTCCATCCACCTCCGACTATCTTGGAAGACTCCTCTTGCGGACTTACACGTTAGTGCCTTGCCAACGGAGGGCGGCGCGCCCCGAATGCCGACTCCGAGACGCTCGGAGAGGTCGGCCTGCGGCGGCGTCGTGCCCCCCGCGTGGTTCCGTGGTGGGCCGGAGTTCCACCGCCACTGCCAAAGGCAGGAGGGGGAGGAGGGGGAGGAGGGGGAGGAGGAGGAGGAGGAGGAGGAGGAGGAGGAGGAGGAGGAGGAGGAGGAGGAGGAGGAGGAGGAGGAGGAGGAGGAGGAGGGGGAGGAGGAAGAGGTGGTGGAGGAGGAGATGGAGGAGAGGAGGAGGAGGCGGGGAAGGAGGATGATTAGAAGGGAGGAGGAGGAGCACGAGGAGGAGCAGGAGGAGGAGGACCTCCCCATCCTCCCTTCTCCCCAGTCCTATCTATGGTGGTGGTGGAAATTAGCCCATCATCACGTGCGAGGCTGGGGGAGGGATGGGGACATCGTCGGCGGCGGTGGCCCCGGTCCTCCTGCTGTCCTTGCCCTTCAATTGGACGGGCAAGGACGTTCTGGTACTATGTGTCCTCCTTAGAGGCGTGCGTCCGACCCGAATAGGTGGCCACATGCGAAACCTACCCAAATTCCCCACGATTTCGAAGGGTGGAGGTGGGGTTCATTTCGTTCGGGACCTCCCGAGCGAAATGAGCCCCACCTCCACCCTTAGAAATCGTGAGGTGGTGGGGTAGGGTTCGTATTTGGCCGCCGACCGAACATATAGTATGACAGTGTTGTAGCCTATCGTTTCCTGAGCGCTATGGCCAGGAAGCGCTCGCCACGGAGCTTACACTGTAAGATCTCTCGGCGCGCGCGTTGGCCCTGGAGGGGGCGACAAACACATAGTTCGCGTGTTAGGGTGACGCCGACTCACCTCGACGCGTCCACGCCCGAACCGCAATCCTACTGCGCCTTGTGTGCAAGCTGACCACGGCCACCGCCCGCGCGAATATGGTTTTCCAAAGCGCCCTCCACAGTCTATTCAGCGCTCACGTTTTCTTTAAGTTCCTTGCGCTCCGCATAACTACGTTTCTGCTACTATCTCATGGTATTTGGCTTTGATGTTCTGGTACGGTGCACGTCTGATATAACTTGCGACACAAATCAAATAATAATCCACACTCGAAACGACAGTACTCTGTTTCCGTGTTGGGAAACATACAGCTCATAATCAAATCATGAGATGCCTGTTGAAGCGATGTATCGGTGTGCAACCAGGCACGTCCTACGTCCCTGTACTTGTTGGATGCTCCAATAATAGAGCTCGTACATTGTGACGAAACCTCGAACGACAATTCGAAATTGGAAACGCGCTGCAATTCATCAATCTCACTGCCAGAGAAATCAAGCGGAAAGCTTCCATGGGAACCCGGATCTTTCGAAGGCATGCCGAGGGGGGTGGGGCATGCGCAAAAGAAGGCAGGCACCTCTAGCGGCCACTTCCTGTGGTCGAACGCCTCCTGGAAGACGCTGAACGTGACGGACACGACCAGGACGTCAGGCCGGTCCAGGTGGGCCCTGAGGTACTGGGGGGAGGTGTACTCCCGCATCCCGTACAGGGACGTCTCCTCAAGGGCGTGGGGAGCAGGGGCGCTGGGGGCGTGCCCGTCGCCCGGGCGCGAGCCACACGGTGTTGTCCGTGCTCGGTTGTCGGTGTGCCGCCGTTTTCTTTCCCTCGTTCCGTCTTCGCTCCGCCTGTGCTGCAAGACGACACCAAAACGAGAACGACCCCCGAACTCGCCAAAAAACACTGTCCAGCTCGCGCCCTGCCTCTTCGTTTCTCGAACCTGTGCACCACCGCGCCTGGCCAGGGCCGTCCTAACCCCTGGCGCGCTCACGCATCGCCCCGCTGGCTGAAGCCAGGACGGCCTGCATGCACAGTGTCGGGGCCCAGCTCCCCCCTGGCCAAATGTGGTGGCGTAGTGACTGCCTCCTGCGATGCTTGCGTGCCCTGGGTGCGGTTTTATCAAAAGGGGGGGGGGGTGATCGACCTTCCTTCCGACGGAGCTTGCCGGCCCCCCCCTCCCTCCTCCTCCTCCTCCCCCTCCTCCCCTCCTCCTCCAAAGCCCCTCCTTCCTCTTCCTCCTCCCTCTCCTCGCTTTCTCCTCATCCTTCTCCTCCTCCTCCTCTTCCCCCTCCTCCCTTTTCCCTCCTCCTCCTCCTGCTCCTCCTCCTCCTCCTCCTCCTGCTGCTCCTCCTCCTCCTCCTCGTCCTCGTCCTCCTCCTCCTCCTCCTCCTCCTCCTCCTCCTCCTCCCCCTCCTCACCTGTTCCTCCAAACTCCCCTCCACCAATTCTGACATCACGTGCGGGTGGCGACACACCACGAACAGCCCGGACCGTCCAGAGAACACGACATAGGCGTGCCGCGAACACGATGGTAATGGTGATGACCCGTGTGAAAAGGAAGAGAAGAAAGAGGAGAGGAGGGCGAGGAGGTGCTCCTGCCCTGGGGTGTGCAGTGAAAACAAAAGCCCCGCTCAGGATGTGGGGAACTGTCTGTACATGACTTTTCAGAGGTCCGCGCAGATGTCCCAGATCTGCCCCCTCCCCCGCGCGCGGAGCAGTGAAAACAAAAGCCCCACTCAGGATGTGGGGGAGTATCTATACATGACTTCTCAGAGGCCCGCGCAGATGTCCCAGATCTGCGCTGGACCTCCCTCCTCTCCGGCGCGCGGAGCGCGCCAAGCGCGGCGCTGGAGGCGCCGCCAAGGGCTCCAAGCCGAGGGCTGATGCTTGTGCCGTGTTCTCTTCTCGAGTCGATGCACACCCTCCGAACCTTCCCTCTGGAGGCCCCACAACGGCTCGGTGACAGGCCGGGCGGTGACCTCGGAATCCCCGCAGCCCTCGTCGTGCGGTCCGTCTCCGCACCGCTGTGTGAGTATCGTTGAACCGATCCCCATCCCCAGCGGCGTGCACTGGGCCCCACTGGCAGATTAACCCCCCCTAGATAGGGGTATAGGCTTAGGTCGGGCCTGTCCCCCTACAGGGGTATTTTGGGCGAACAGAGCAAATACCCCAAACATACACCAACATTGACAAAAATAGTTAAAAAGTCGTCCCCTATATTATCTATGTTTGAAGATTTCTCCTGTACAGGGACAGGCCCGACTTCAGTATAGGCCGTTCCCTTCGGGCTTCGAGGGGCGTATCCCCAACTGGGGCGGTCATTTGGTGGGGGTCTGCAAGGGGATGGGGATGGGGATGGGGATCGCGACGACGACGCCGCCGCCGACGACAACGAAGACGCCGACGCCGACGCCGACGACGAATCGGTGGAGTGATACCGAGCTGGGGGACCCCTGGAGGCAGTGGGCCCCCCGGCCCCCCCGAGGCAGCGCCGCAGGGAACGGCCCGAGTCCCCCAAGAAGCCGCGCGGCCGCCCTGGATATCTCCGCGGATTCGCTCTGCGGCGTGGTCACCGTGCCGTCGGGTCGGGCGTGTCCCCCTGCAGGCGGAGCTTGGACGAACAATGCAACAATACCGCAAAAATCCTCCCCCAAAATGCCCCAAAAATGGCCGCATGGTCGAAACATCGTCCCCAGACTCTTTCTGGATTATTTTCGAATGTTCCCCCTGTAGAGGGACAGGCCCGACTGAACCGTACCGCTTGTCTGCACACGAGCGCGTTTCTTCATTTTCGGCGATGATGGGCATTCTAGGGGGGGGGAGGGGCCAGGGGGGGGTATAATGTAACGCCTCCCCCGCGCCGTGCGCACGGCGGCAGTGCCCCGAGCGCACTGGGGGGGAGGGGCGTTACGTTATGGGGGGGGAGGGGGGGGGGCCGAGGGATGTAATGCCCATTATGCCCCAAACAAGAAAGAAACACGCTCCACCCGGGATGGGGACAGAAAGTGCGGGTACGATGCCCAACAACAGTGCCCGTTCATGTGGAACAAAAGTAATTCGCTGTCCTTCGAAGTCCTTCTGACAAACGTGAGGACAGCAAGTGCTGTCAACTGGACAGAGACTGCTGTCAAAGTGCCAGGATGTGTTTTCTGATGGGCCGCGAGGCACAACAAATCTGGTCCCAGATGAGATGGCACTGCTGTTGGGTGACGTGCTCATACTTTCTGTCCCCGGGTGTATAGGGAGTTTTGGGACCCAACCTTCATCCCCGCTGTCGTTGCCCCCAACCCCAGCTGGACGATCACGACGACGACGACGACGGACGACGACGAAGACCAACGACAGACGACGAAGGCGGACCCTGAGATCCGACGTCACGAACAATTGCAGCATCATGAAACAACGCAACCGGAACCCTGGGCCCCATCTCTATGGGGTACTTTTTTTCCAGCCGGATCGATCCGTGCGGGTGCCGGGGCCCGAAGCAGGGCGAAGTCGCCCGTGGCGGACAAACTGCGACGCCAGGATTTCAGGGTCGGCTCCACCCCTTCAAGTTTCCGAGTCACAGCTCGGCTCTCCAGCGGCCGTTCGGCACGACGCGGCCCCCCTGGAAAGCCCTCGGCGAGGCGCAGCCGCTGGAGCGCATCCCGAGATGGGGAAACCGCAGAGAACCAACGAACGCGCCCGAAAGCCCCGACGGGCGAAAGCAGGGCTGAACCTAAACGGTGCTTTTCGTTTCCGTCTTGTTTTCGTTTTCCCTCGTTTTGTCTTCCATCCGCCTTTAGCGCAAAACACACATCGAAATGAAAACGGCCCACGAAATCGCCAAAACACCGTTCAGGTCCACCCCCCGGGCGAAAACGTCCGCGAACCGACGGAACGCGCCCGAGAACGGGCGAGGCGGGCGCCCGGCGACGACCGACGACCAACGACCAACGACCGGCGACGGCGCCTGGGCGGTGGCGACGACGGCCCGAGCCCCCCGCGGATCCTCGAGCTCCAGGCCCGCCCACCGCTCCAGCCTGGGCTGCAGGACCTCCTCGCGGCCACGCGCACGGGAGGCGGCCCTACACGACTGGAGGCCTCCTGGCTGGGGTCCGAGCACGGGGGGGTCGGAGGATCGCGCCGCATCGCCGAGGCATCGGCGACGTCGGTGTGGGGGAAAGTTGGGCCCCACATCGAGCCGCACCCAGCCTGGGCTTCAGGGCCGCCTCGCGGCTACGCTAGAAGACGAAAGAGCGGCACAAACATAAACGGTTGGCGCTCTGCGCGGACGTATTTGATCCCCTCATGACGCGCGGAGCGCGCCAAGGGCGGCGCCGGAGGCGCCGCCAGGGGGGCCCAATACGGATCCAGGACATCCGCGCGGAGGGCCAAAAGTTTATGCTTATGGCGTTCTTTCTTCTTCGACACGCGCTGAGAAGGCGACCCTACACTACGCCACAAAAGTGCGCACACGGACGCCCGCCGACCAACTGTGCCTGTGCCTTCAGGGAGGATGGCGGTGTATGAGATGGCTGGCTCGCAGAGGTGACTTATGCACCGCCACCCTCCCCTGAGGCCCGAGACCTATCCATTGGGGGGGTCCCGTGCATAGTAATGTTGCGGCAGGTACGCCGCAACGGATGGCGCTCGGCTCGTGGCTTGCCGATCCCTGCGCGCGGCTCGGCAGTGGCGGCCCGTGGTCGTGGGCTTGGAGATCCTGGCGCTGCACCTCCCCGCAGCGGGCAACTCGCTGCCCTGCTTCGGGCCCTGGGCAAGCCGAAGCCAGGACGAGGACAAGTTCGGGTGAGGATCAATCGAGAACCTCAGAGATCCGGCGGCTCTGGAGGATGTCTCGGGCGCCGCGGCCTTCCTCAGAGCGTCCCGCAACGCTCTGGAACGGATGGATCCTCGCCCTCGCCCCGCCCGACTGAGGCCACTCCACGGCTCGATCTGGCCCCGAGAATGCCGCAGAAGGATGGGGCCCAGGGCCCTGGCCGAGCTTTGCTGCGATGCTGCATTCCCCGATCAATGCTTGCACTGAAGGGGTCCTAGCGGAACTTGAGAAAGACTTAGCGAAACTGTCCTGCCGATTTTGGTGGCCGGCTGGGTTCCCGGGTTCCCGGTTCTGGGTTCCCAGGCTCCAGGTCACTGGTTCCGGGCCGAGTTCGGTGGGTTCCGGGTTCCCCGGCTCCCAGTCGATCTCCTTATCGACCTCTTTATCGATCCCATTTCAACCCATCCACCGATTGGGGTTGTTCTCTGGTTCGACTACACGCAGGAGTGACCCTGGGTAAGAGTGACCTTTGGTGCGCGGTTTTTGGGGGGCCGCGGGGGGCCCAAACACAAGCGCGCAAGACGCTACTATCGCCAAAGGTCACTCCGGCGACAGGTCACTCTTACGTCTAGTCGACTGGTGCAGTGTTCTTCGCGGCGCGCCAAGTCTCCGGGTTGGGCCCCCCCCTGGCGGCTGCGGCCTGCGACCTCTGGCGGTGCTCGGGCCCGGCGCGGCCTCGCCGGCCTGCGCGTGCGCGTGGGCCTGGCGCCCTACCGAGGCCCCCCCCGAGGGAGAGCCGCGCACCGGGCAGAGCGACGAGACGAACCGGACCTGCATCGGCGATGACGTGGCGACCTCACGCTAGGGCGACGAGGTTTATATATATATATATATGTATATGTAAATGTATATGTATATAGAGGCCTCCCAGATGGGGTCCGAGTAGATGGGGTCGGAGGATCGCGCCGCATCGCCGATGCATCGGCGATACATCGGCGATGCCTCGGCGACGTCAACGTGAAGCAAGTCGGGCTCCTCATCGAGCCGCACAGGCGATGCATCGGCGATGTGGCGCGATCCTTCGACCCCGTCTACTGGATCCAATCCGCCGACCCCTTGTGGGTCTCTAGGCGTGTGAGATAGTTCCCCCCCCATAATCCCCCCCCCAGGGACCCCAAACCGGAGATTTGACCCCCCCCCCCCCGGGCCCAGCACGAGCGCGTCACGGGGCTCTTTTGGGCCCAAAAGGGGATCAAGACGGGCCCAGAAGGCTCCAAGAGGCCTCCAAGACGGCCCACGAGGGCCCCGAGACGCCAAACGAGCGCTCCCACACGCCCAAGATGGCCCCAAGACGAGCCTAGAGGCCTCCAAGACGGCCCAAGAGGTCCCCACGAGGCCCCAAGAGGCCTCCAAGATGCGTCCCAAGAGGGTCCCTAGACGCAAAAATTGGCCCATTCCCTTCGTAAAACGTATAATTTTCACAAATTCGCTTTCTGGGCTTTCCGACGCTCCAAGACGGCCCAAGAGGCCCCGAAGACCGCCCCAAGACGGCCCAAGAAACCCCCAAGAGGGTCCCAAGATAGCCCAAGAGGGCCCCAAGACGGCCCAACAAGCGTCCAAGACGGCCCAACAGGGCCCCGAAAAGGGCCCCAAGAGCGCTCCAGGAGCGCCCCAAGTGGCCTCCAAGAGAGCTCAATATGGTCCCAGACAGCCCAAGAGCGATCAAAGACACCGAAGATGGCCTCCTGACGGCCCAAGATGCCCCCAAGAGGCCCCAAGAGGCATCCAAGATGCGTCCCAAGAGGGCCTCTAGACGCAAAAATTAGCCCGCTCCCTTCGTAAAGCGTGCGTTTTTTTGTTTTGTTTTCACACAAATTCGCCTTTCGGGCTTTCCGACGCTCCCAGACGGCCCAAGAGGCCCCCAAGACCGCCCCAAGACGGCCCAAGAAGCCTCCAAGAGGGCCCCAAGACAGCCCAACAAGGCGCTGAGACGGCTCAAGCGGCGCCGAAGACGGCCCAAGAGAGCCCCGATGACGGCCCCAAGAGCGCTCCAAGTGGCTTCCAAGAGAGCTCAACATGGTCCCACACGGTCCAAGAGCGATCGAAGACCCCCGAAATGGCCTCCAGATGGCCCAGCACGCCCCTGAGAGGCCCCCAAGATGCGTCCCAAGACGGTCCCTGGACGCAGACATGTACGTATTCCCGTCGTGAAACGTACAATGTTCACACATCCGCTTTCTGGGCTTTCCGACGCTCCTAGACGGCCCAAGAAGCCCCGAAAACCGCCCCAAGACGGCCCAAGAGGCCCCCAAGACGGCCCCGCGACGGTCCAATATGGCCCCAAGACGGCCCAAGAGGTCCCCAAAACGGCCCAAGAAGGCTCCAAGACGGCACCAAGAGGGGCCCAAGAGGGCAACCAACAATTCAAAAATCTAGCTTTCCGCCCCCACGAGCCCCAGGGGGCCCCAAGAGCGCCCCAACAGGCCGCCAACGGCCCTCAAGAAACCGCCAAGACGCCCCAAGGAGCCCACAAGAGGCCCCCAGGAGGCCCCCAAAAGACCCCCAGACGCTTCCGTATTGCGAGCCGTCACGCCAACTGCAATGCACTCCGCGCATACAACCTTACTCTTCCTCGCGACGTGCTCACTATCTTGCTCGGCGCTAATGTGCTGCTGCCGCGCGAACTGTTTCGTGCGCGCTGCGAACGTCAACAGCCTCTTCACCCGTTTCGATTCATCTGCCACATCTTTCGCTGTGATGCTTCGCTGATCACAGCTTCCACACACTACTCTTGCTCCTTTCGTCTTCCAATGCTCCTCCACTTGGTTGCGGGTCGAAAGGCCGACCTCCCAGAAGGACACCCCGCACCCGGGTGCACAGCACGCAAAGCGCTCGCAAAACACGCCCCAGACCACCGGCATCACGCAAACATTTGGACCCCCTACCTATCTGCCACCACCCGCGCGCGACACCGCACCCTCACACAAGACGCCGCTGGCCAGAAACTCCTGGCCTCGCAACACTCACAGAAGGGGTCGGCGGATGTGGCGTAAGCCTGTAGAGTCTGGGAGGCCTAGAACACATCCGCTGCTCCCTGGCCACGCCCATCCTGAACCGGGCAGCGGTGTGTACGCGACGCCTTCCTGGCTTGTCCTGAAGGGCGTATACACAGCTGCTGAGTGCAGGGTGGGACTGACCAGGGAGCAGTGGACCTGTATAGATCTCGTCTCGCGCGGTGGCTTGCGCGGGCCGCCACCGCCGCACGCTACCATCATTGGAAAGGGGGGCGCCTACGCGCGACCTGGCACGGACAGCTCACCCGCGACTGTGCGCGCAGTGAGACCCGCTTGCCTGCATCCCTCAGATGCCGCTCCTGCGAAGGGTTAGGTCGGGCATGTCCCCCTACAGGCGGATTTGGGGGGAAAGTGAAAAAAGAGCAAACAAATACGCCCAAATAGGCAAACATAGTGAAACAAATAATCCCCTGACTATTTTTGACCATGTTTAAATTTTCCTAACGTAGAGGGGCAGGCCCGACTTAACGCTTGCGCGCAGCCCGCTCCTTGATCCTGCGCGCCAAGGCGGGCCCACCCTTCCCCGCGTGGACGTTCACCATGGCGGACAGCGTCTCGTGTGCGTTGATCTGCGTCTGCCCCCACGAGTTCCTGAGGCAGAGGCCCCTACATGGGATCCGAATCGATTTAGGTCGGGCGTGTCCCCCTACAGGCGGATTTTTGACGAAAAATATCAAATACCCCAAAACGCACACAAAACATAATACTCAAAAATTGTCAAAACATCGTCCCCAGACTATTTTTGAATCTTTCCCCTGTAGAGGGACAGGTCCAACTTAAGAGCAGTTGGGGTCGGAGGACCGCGCCGCATCGCTGCTGCATCGACAATGCATCGCCGACCGATGCCTCGGCGATGCGTCGGCGACGTCTGCGATGCATCGGCGCCATCAGCGTGGAGAAGCTGTCTCCACATCGAACCGCACTGTCGATCTGGAGCGATGAAGCGACCCCATCTACTCGGACCTCATGTAGGAGCCTAGATTTGAAGAATAAGCAACTGCATAAACATAAACTGTTGGCGCTCCAAGCGGAGCGTCGAGAATGTGTGTTTATAGCGTTTTGACTTCTTCGATAAATGACGGAGGGGACATGGTGCTTCAATGATTTGCAGTAGCAGTACTTACCCAAGGACGGGGGTTTGGGCAGCGCTTGGGCCAGGTGGTGCACGCCGGGGCGCTGGGGGAGGTTCTGGGTTTTTGTCTTCCCCCCACTTCCCATATTTTCCCATGTTTTCAAGGGAATCGACGATTCATTGTGTCTGTGTGTTTTTTCCCCTCCTGATTCTCCACCGAGCAGTCGCAGCGTGGAGGTGCCGGGCCGCGCCCCCTCCACTGAGATCTGGCGTCGCGAAACATCTTGCAGACGGAGCCGCGCAAAAACAATCTCGGCCGGAGCCCCGGGCCTACCTTTCCACGGCACCCTGCGGGCCGCATCGGCTGCGGGGGCGCCAGGGCCCGACACAATGCCGAACCACCGGTGCAGAGCGAGTTGCGGCGCCAGGGTCTCAGGGCAGGCGCTGGGCTGCGCCCCCTCGCGCCGCCCGTGCTGGGGACAGAGGCAGATGCCGCGGGCCAGCAGCGGGGCGCGGCTCCAGGGCGGCGGCCCTGAGGCCGCGGAGCTCTCAGTGTACGCGTGTGCGCGTGAATGTGTGTGTGTGTGCGTGTGTGCTTGTGCGTGTGTGTGTGTGCGCGCGTGCGTGCGTGCGTGCGTGCCTGCGTGCGTGCGTGCGTGCGTGTGTGTGTGCGTGTGTGTGCGTGTGTGCGTGTGTGTGTGTGTGTGTGTGTGTGCATGTCTGTGTGTGCGTGTGTGTTTGTGTGCAAATAAAAAAGTAAGTCGGTAGGTAGGTAAGTAGGTAGGTAGGTAGGCATGTAGGTCGGTACATAAGAAGCAGTACATCAATCATTACGTCGGTAAGTACATGTAAGTGTGCGTTGGAGTGTGTGTGTGTGTGCATGTGTATGTGTGTGCGTGTGTGAATGCGTGTGTGTGTGTGTGTGCGTGTGTGTGTGTGTGTGTGTGCGTGTGTGTGTGTGTGCGTGTGTGTGTGTGTGTGTGTGCGTGTGCGTGTGTGTGTGTGTGTGTGTGTGTGTGTGTGTGTGCGTGTATGTGTGCGTGTGTGCGTGCGTGCGTGCGTGCGTGCGTGCGTGCGTGTTTGTATGCGCTTTCCCATGCGCGGCCCCACGAGCCCCAGAAGCCCCGACCGCCTCCCCTGGACCCCCACGGGGGTGCTCCTGCGGCCCCCCGGAGGCCGCTCCCCTGGGGCCCCAAGGCCGGCGCGCCCCGCAGCGAGGCCAGCGTCGAGGCCGAAGAGCGCTGGGATTCTGCAAGCTGCCACTCGGCGGAGGCCCCGGGAGGTGGCGGGCGGCAAGCGAACGCCGAGAGCGGGCAAGCGGGCCGAGAGCCGGCGAGTGGAAGAGGAGTCCTGTTCCTCCTCTTCCTCCTCGTCTTCGTTCTGGCTTTCTTTCTCGTCCTCCTCCTCCTCCTCTCACCCGAGTGGGTCCCCACCCCCGTCACTCAGGGAGTCCCCAGGGCGTTGGGGCTATGGTCCCAGGTCCCTCGCCAGCCATCGCCTGGACACAGCCTCTTTGAGGACTGGCCCTGTGACACTCCAGGCCTGTGGTCCTATGGCACTCCCTTGTGTTCTCCATGTTTGAGAACGTTAGCCAGCATTGACCCCGAACAGCGATCTCCTGCAACCTATGCGGCGCAACCTAGGTAGTGCAATCAAGGTGAGGCAATCTAGGTGGTTCAATTCAAGTGGTCTACGGTATGCAGTGCAAAGCACTGCAAATCAAAAATAATGTAATGCCAAGCAGCACACAATATCGCAGACAAACGCAATGTAAAGCAATGCAGAGCGATTTGAAAGCAACGCGAAGCCATACAACGCAACAACACAATACAACGCAATGCAAAACAATGCGAAGCAATTCAAAGCAAGGCAAAGCAATGCACAGAACAATGCACAACAATGCAAAGCAACGCAAAGCAATGCAAAGCACTGCAAAGCAGTGCAAGACAAGGCAAAACAATTCAAAGCAATGCAGAGCCATGTAAGGCAGTGTAATGCAGTGCAAAGCGATGCAACACAATGCGATACAATTGCAATGCCGCGCAGCGCAATGCAAAGCAGTGCAACAACGCAACGAAATATTAAGCAATGCAAGGGAACGCAAAGCAACGCAATGCAACGACATGCGAACAGTGCAATGCAATGCAAAGCAACGCAGTGCAACTCAATGCGCTTCAATTCAAAGCAATGCAACGCGGAGTAAGGCACTGTGACGCAATGAAAAAGCAACGTAACACAAAGCAGCTTGCAAACCAATGCAACGTAACACACAGCAACACAAATCACTGCAGAGCCATGCAGCGCAATGCCAATCAATGCAACGCATTGCGTTTTCAACGCAAAACAACGCAACACAATGAACGCCGATGCAACGGAATGCATATCGATGAACATCAACGCAGAGAACACACTAATGCAAAGCTCTGCACATCAGTGTAAACCAATGTAAGTCGGCGCACGTAAAGCAACGCAAACGAATGCATCGTAATGCAAAGCAAAGCAAACCAATGCAACGCAGCGAAAAGCCGTTCTCAGCAAGGCAGAGCAGTGCCTTGCAGTGCGAAGCAGTGCACGCCATCGCACAGCAGTGCGGAGCAGTGCAGGCCAGTGCGAAGCAGTGCTCTGCCAGTGCAGCCCAGCGCAAAGCAGCGCAGACCCTTGCAGCGCCACGCGAAGAGGGCGGCGACGAGGCGACGGGCGGCGACGAGGCGGCGACGCGGTGGCCCGAGCGGCGCGCAGGCCTCGACGGCGGGCGGCGACGCGGCGGCCGCGGCGGCGACGCGGCGGCCAGAGCGACGCACAAGCTCGGACGACGCGGCGGCGACGGGGCGGCGACGAGGCGGCCAGAGCGCCACGCAGGGCCGCCGCCCCCTCGCTCGTGTTCGGGCACGGCGTCGGACCGTCAGGGCTCACCAGTTGCGTCGATTCGCAGTGCTGCCTCGGGGGCGCGCAGACGTGGATTCGCGATCCATGGATTTGGCGCGCGGTCGCCAAGTCCATGGATCGGGGGAGGTGCCCTCCCCAAAATGCGGCCAATATCGCCTCGTTCGGCGGCGGAAATCCGCGATTCCCAATGGAAACGGGACCCGTCGCTAATCCACGCCCCCTTAATCCATGTTTGCGATCGCCTGATTTCGGCACGGTGTCGGACTGTCAAGGCTCACCAATTACGTTGATTCGCAGGGCTGCAGTCCACGGAACGATTGTCTGGCACGGTTCAGGATCATCGGGAGGCAGCAGTCACAGTGAGCCGCGGCGCTGCGATCCCAGGAATTGTGTCCTGGCACAACACAGGATTCTCAAACTGTTGTTCCCCACCCGACAGGTGGGGGTCGGTAAATTTTAAGAACAGGCCTCCCGGCCCGCCCGCCCTGCATACCGCGGCCGCCAGATCCCCAGACTCCCGATAATCCCTGGTGGTCCCGCCGCCAGATCCCCGGGTCCCCCACAGAACAAGGCATAACACCACACCACCGAACAGAGCACATCCGAGCTAAACATACCATAGCATGACAGACCATATCGTACCATAACACACCATGGCAGAGCAGTGAATACCATAGCACAACACCACAACATGTATCACCCCATACCATGACAAACCAAGCATGCCGTAACACATCAAATCATAACTACACATGACAAACCATAACATGCCACATCATCACCCAACACGACACATAATAACATATCATAACACAGCATGACAACACATGATACGACATATCCGAGCATAAATAACATAACAGGACAGACCATACCAGAACATTACATAGTAAAGCATCCCATGCCATACCATGACATAACAAACCACAACGCAACACAGCATCACACCATAACCATTCAATAACATGACACAACATACCATGACATGTCGCGGCATAATATGCTACAGCACAGCAAACCGTACCATAGCATAACGCCTGAAGCTTACCATACTTGGACACACAGATCATAGCATAACACCACACCTCAAACCACGCCATGTCACATAATAACATGGCACACCATGACATAACATGTCATATCATAACATACGCCGAACGTTTCGGTGGGGATCACTCGAAGCAACATAAGTTTACCACGGGGCACTTCCTTCAGTCAATATGAACCCTGGTAGGGGCGTGTGGAGAGGGATCATGGAGGGAGGGTTTACTGCAATATCGTTGATGACTCTTGGGTTTGCACTGGTCCTCCTCCTCCTCCTCCGCCGCAAACGGGGGCACTCGCGGACGACTGCGGTCCTAATGTGATTAGACCAGCGACGTCCTTGCAATCTGGCGTCGATGTTGCATTCATTCCCCAAATGTCCGAAGCTCTCGGCCTGTGTGGAGTTCTGGCCGCCGTGCCGCCGCCATCACCGCCCCGTTGCCGCCTCGTCGCGAGAATCCTTGGATCTGCCGTAAACTCCTGAACAAATGTACGCGGCGCGAAGTCGAGATCCACAGATTGACAAGGAGCCACCCTCCATCCGCGAAGCTCTTGCAACTTTTTAGAACGAAGGTGCGCGGCGCTACGGTGAGAGCCACGACCTGCCCTCCATCCGTGAAGCTCTTGCACATGTTTGAGACGGATGTGCGCGGCGCTAAGGCAAAAGACACGTTTGGAACACGACCTGCCCTCCATCAGTGAAGCTCTTGCGAATTTCTAAGGCGGATGTGCGCGGCGCTGAGGCGAGAACAACACTTGGAAAACTGCCTGCCCTCAATCCGCGAAGCTCGAACACATTTCAAACGGATGCGCGCGGCGCCAAAACGAGAACCGCATGTCGAAAACGACCCACCCTCCATCCGTGAAATTGTTGGAAATTCTCAGCTTCAAAATTATACATGGTGAGGGAATGTCCAGCGAAATGCCCGGCCCGCCTTTTCGACCGGCCTTGGGGTGCGACAGGCAGGACCGATTCATAAGGAATGGGAGCGGCGGAGGCGGAGAAAAACGAGGAGGAGGAAACAGGGGGGAGCGAAACACAACCGGGGGCGGCCAGCAAGGGGCAAGGAAGAGGAGGAGGAGGGAGACAGGGTTCGGTGGTCACGTCGTCGGGGGTCGTGGCCGTGGCTGTCTTGGAAGCGAAGTCGCTGTGAATGTGGCCGTGCTCGCCGCTGCTGCCGTGCTCGCTGCCGTGGTCGTGGCGGTCGTGCTGGATGGTGCCGTGGTGGTGGTGGTGGTGGAATGTGTGGTGGTGGGAGCTATGGGCATCGCCGGCATTCCTTCCCTCCCTCGCTTTTTCCGTCAATCCCTCCATCCTCCTCCTCCTCCTCCTCCTCCTCCTCTTCGTCCTCCTCCCCTTGTCCTCCCCCTCCTCTCCTCTTCATCCTCCGCCTCCTCCTCCTCCTCCCCTCCTCCTCCTCCTCCTCCCTCCTCCCTCCTCCTCCTCCTCCTCCTCCTCCTCCTCTTCGTCCTCCTCCCCTTATCCTCCCCCTCCTCTCCTCTTCATCCTCCGCCTCCTCCTCCTCCTCCCTCCTCCTCCTCCTCCTCCCTCCTCCTCCTCCTGCTACTCCTCCTCCTCCTGTTCTTTTTCCGGCTCAAGAATCGAGCCCAAGACCTCTTCTGGGGGGCGTTTTGGCGCGAATGTCAAGTGGATCCAGCCGTGGTGGCGAGACGCCTCCGAAGTGCCCAAAGTACATCCACAACTTCCAGAAACCTCGATTCATGACCCTCAGCCCTGGAACATCGAAGCTCTCCTCCTGGGTGATTTTCGGCTCTTCGGCGGCCGCTCGGGACTATCCGGGGTCGCCCCGAACGCCCTCGGCGAGCCGCAGCTGCAGAACCCGGGGCAGGAATACTGCAACGGACCGATGCAAATCATTGAACACTTACAAACTCCATGCGTCCCCTTGTCCTCCCCCCCCCACTTCCACGCTCCACCCCCATCCTCCCCCTCCCCCTGCTCATCTGCTTCTCTCCCACGGCTCCACTCTTCGTCGGAGCTGGTGCCGTTGTGCGCCAGGTAGTGCGCCACCAACTCCTGGTGCAAGTCCTTGGGGATCCACCGGCCCGCCCTCGAGGGCCACGCGGGCGCTTCCATCGCCACCGCCACCGTCGGCGGGAAGAGGGGGGAGAACACGGGGGGGAACGCGGGGCATGAGCGAAAAACGAACGAACGATCCACCAAAGCAGAAAGCTGTCCGGGCCAGCTGTAAGACCAGGTGGATGAGGCCACGGCCTCCTGTAGACATACAGTCGTGCATTGGAGCTGCGAGACATACAACAGTTCTAGAACTGTGCAACACACCAACAATTATGACGGAGAAGGAGAGAAGGACGCCCTGGTTGTGAATGCCGGCGAAGTGTTGATGCAAGTGTGCTCGGGCGCTGACCACGTGGAGATGCTTTGAGCTGAACAAGCCCCGGTGAGGTCGTTCGGCTTGCCTTTCGCAGCGGCTGATGTGAGCGTTGGATGCCAGTCGGGTCCGTACCGTTGAAGGAAACTGACGACGTCGTCGTCCGAGCGCTTGCGCTGGCCGCCGCGTTGCCTCTGTCCGCGATGGCGTGAGTCCTCTCCTGGTTGCCAGTGGAGCGCACGCCACGTCCATCATCATGTGGGCTCGTGGTTAGCAACCCTCGACGTCGCTGTGTTCGCCGCAGGAATTGCCTGAGAGGTCTGTGAACGTCCATGTCTCTGCTCCGTAACGTGCTGTAGATGTCACTGTGCGGTTGACAAGCCGGAGTCGGTGTGCGGGTAGTGCCTGCTTGTCAGCTCTTGCTTATGCGAAGTGAGCGTTACCCATGGTGCCCGCATGCGAAGGTGGATACCCATGTCCTGAATGCGCACTGTGCGCGAAGTGGCCCTGCCATTCCGCCTGGTCGAATTGCTGATCATTTTGATTTTGCGGGGGTGCAGCTGAAGTCCGTGAGGTCGCACTGCGCGCGCGATATCGTCGAGCAGCGCGGTAAGGCGCGGTAGAGTTTGGGTGATCAGAAGCACGTCGTAGGCGAAGCGGAGGTTGGTGAGTGAATGGTGGTGGCGGGCCCTAGCTGGATTTCCTTGCTCTTCGTATGCCAATCGGTGATCAGTAGTGAAAAGGTATGCTGTAGCAAAGCGCTGAACAGTGAGGGGCTGAGCGGGTCGCCCTGCTTTGCCCCCCGGAGGAGGCTGAAGGACCTGCTGCTGACGTCAGTCTTGACCGTGGCCGTCTGTCCCTCATATAGCTGCTGGGGTAGTGGGATGTATCTTCGTAAGGCGCCCTGCGCCTTCAGTGCTGCCCACATGCTGTTGTGCTCGACTGTGTCAACAACTTGTTTGAAGTCTAGTGCCACCACCCACAAACTCTGGTTCCACTCGTGCGCGCGCCCACGGACGATGTGGACAGCGAGCAAATGGTCGGTGGTCGAATGTCCTGGCCTGCGGCTGGCTTGGTCCGCGCTGTGTCGGGGGTCGAATGTTGGTTGAAGTCAATGAAAAAATAAGTCGGGTGAACAGCTTGAAAGATAATGTCAACGTGCGCACGGCCCGACAGCCCTGCGGAAGCGTAAAACCGCCACTCTTGGGAACGACCGTGGCGACAATGCGCTCCCAACTGAACGTCTGCGGAATGTCGGACTGGATGAACGCGTTATAGACGTGCACCGTGAAGAAGTGCACTGTGCAATTCTTCTGTGCCTTCTTTCAACATTTCTGTTCGCAGGCCTGCGGTGCTTGGTGCTTTACCAATATGGAGCCCTCTCATCGCCTTGCTCACCTTTCCCCCTGCGAAGACTGGTAGGTCGTCGCCGCGTCGCATTCGTTGCGTCGGCTTGGCCGTGGAATCGTGTAATTGCTTGCTTCCGATGAGCTTCTTGGGCCTCATGATGGTTCCAAGAGAGCCCTTGAGAGGCCCCAGAAAGGGGCCCAATCCGGACACAAGGAGGCCCCAAAAGCGCACAAGAGGCGCCCGAGAGCGGCCAAAGAGGCCCCCAACAGGCCATGCTGGAGCTTCCACGGGGGGGGGGCTTCTTTGATCGATCTACTCCTAGATGGCCCCAAGTGAATCTAAAGGGGGGCCCAAGGCGGTCCCAAGGGGTCCCCCAGACCCTCCACCCAGCCTCAAGAAAGCCCCTTGACCCACCAAAAGAACCCCAAGAGGGCCCCGCAAATGCCAGGAGTGGCTCCGCGAGGACCGCAAGAGAGACCCAACACGCCTCCGAGCGACCTACGAGAGCATATGTCCAAGGCGGTTGTTGCTCCACCTCCCTTTACACCTTCCTGGTCAAGGCATCTCGCCTGGCGATCTGTGTCTAGATGGGCTGGTGGGGATGCGCGAAGCGTCAAGGGTTGATTGTGCAACTCCGCAAGTACGTCTGCGATTTCTTGTCGGGCCATACATGTTGAACGTTTTTTGTCTGTCATGTGTGTAATGGGAGTCCGATTTCAGCATGTCTTGGTGCGCGGGGTACTTCTCAGGTCTCTGAACTGTTCGAGCACGCTTCCTATATGGGCTTGTCGTGTCCGCCGCTTCTGCGCGCGGATCTCTTGCTCTATCAGCTTTCTCAGTTGTTTGCGGGTGTGGTGGTCGTTGTTTGGGGTCTGGTGTCGCTGTGCGATGTGAAGGTGTAGACGTTCTGCTCCTCTGTCCGACTGACGGTCTGGTCGTGGTGCTTCAGCGCTGCTGGCGGCGGCGGCGATAAGAACTTTTTGGTTGTGCTCGTCCAGGGATTGCGGGTCGGTTGGTAGTTCGTCTGGTTCCAGTTGTCGTCGTCGTCGGTGGTCGTGGTAGACTGTCGCATTAATGGTCTGGCCACTCGAAGCGTTGGGTGTCGCATGTCTGCGCTGTCGTTGGTCGTCGTCGTGTTGCGGTCGTCTGGTTACCATTGTTTCTGGTATCTCTAACTCGGTGATGACAGCCTTGTAGTCGGGCCCCAAGTCGGTCACGTTGTTGGCCTCGGGCTTCGTGCACTGCCGGAAGAGCTCACGGTTGAGCAACTGCTTGTCGCCAGTGATGTATGCGATATGCTTCTGCATAGGTTTGAGGGAAAATACGTTTTGGCCAGTGCAAGCCTTTCTTGGGCAGCCCAGTGTCGCAACCATGTATCTCTCGAGTCTTCGATCCCACATCCGTGGAGGCCGATAGATCGACGTCGTCGCCGTTTTCTGATATGCGGGATGCCCCAACCTGGGCGTTGAAGTCGCTATCGAATCTAATAAGACGTCGTGCTTTGATATTACCTCTGTGAACATCGTGGATATCGTCGCACGTGCGATGAACATGTGGGTCGCTGTAACCAGATTGCGAAACATACGCGGGCATGAGCGGGGAAAAACGAGGCAGAGGGAGGACTCGAGGCTGAGAGCAGCAGCGTCGTCGTCGACGTCGTCATCGCTGTGTCGCCGTCGCCGTCGCCGTCGCCGTCGCCGTCGCCGTCGCCGTCGCCGCCGTCGTCGTCGTCGTCGTCGCCGTCGTCGTCGTCGTCGTCGTCGTCGTCGTCGTCGTCGTCGTCGTCGTCGTCGTCGTCGTCGTCGTCGTCGTCGTCGTCGTCGTCGTCCCCCTCTGGGGCTGGCGGCACCGGCCGCAAGGCCTTCGCAATAGGGAGCAGCCAGAGGAGCATGCGAAGGACTCGGGGATTGGAGGCCGAGAGCAGCCGTCTGAGCTCGAGCAGCTGGCGGCAGGGGCCGCGGCGGCGGGCCGCAGCAGGTCCCTGCAGCGCGGCCGACGTGAGCTAGCTTTGGGTTCGCGGCGGCGCGTTCGACCGCCGCGGCGGGTCGTCGTCGTCGTCGTCGTCGTCGTCGTCGTCGTCGTCGTCGTCGTCGTCGTCGGCGTCGTCGGCGTCGTCGGCGGCGGCGGCGGCGGCGGCGGCGGCGGCCCGCGGAGGATCGCGCCGCGCTCGGCGCCGCGGCGGGCCCAAAGCGGGCCGCGGCCGCGCAGAGCGAGCAGTTCGGGGGCTCGTCTTCGCGAGGCAGATCGTCTCAGAGGAGCCCCTCTTCGTCTCCTCTTGCACGCAGAGCGAGCAATTCGGGGGATCTTCTCCTCTTCGTTTCGAGGGGCTCTCCTCCTCTTCGTCTCCTCTTGCACGCAGAGCGAGCAATTCGGGGGATCTTCTGACCGGGGTCAATCCAGACCCGGGTCAGCAGGAAACCCCCAACAAAAGCTGCACTGCAAGACATAAGAACTGCAGCGCAGGGCCTCGCAAGCCCGGGTCAGCCAGCATGCGCGGCCGCCTCGCGGCCACGAGCGGCTCGCTGACCCGGCTCAGCCAGAGGGGGTCTTCGCAGGATCCCCCCCTTTGCATTGACCCCCATCCCAAGGCTCCCGAGCAGGGCGCGCGCCCAGGGCTCCGGGACGCCCTGGAGCAGGGAGCCCACAAAGGACGTACGCGCCCAGCTATGTACATGAGCACGGCCCCTTGACCTGCGAGACCTGCCGCGTGACACGAACATTCGCGCAATGCGAACTCTCGAAACCAGCGTGGATTCATGTACGTGTACGTCCTTCTTTCGTTCCTGATAGAGATGCCCCAATAGTCTCAGGTCGGGCACGTCCTCCTACAGGCGGACTTTGGAAGGAACAGACAAAGATAGTCAAAACTAAGCAGGACAAACAGAGGGAGCCCTAGAGTAGGGAGCCCACAAAAGACGTACGCGCCCAGCTATGTACATGAGCAAGGCCCCTTGACCTGCGAGACCTGCCGCGTGACACGAACATTCGCGCAATGCGAACTCTCGAAACCAGCGTGGATTCATGTACGTGTAGGTCCTTTCGCTCCTGATAGAGATGCCCCATTAGTCTCAGGTCGGGCACGTCCTCCTACAGGCGGACTTTGGAAGGAACAAAGAACAAACATCAAAACTAAGCAGAAAAAAACATAGAATCATCGGAAAATCGTCCCCTTGGGGGACTATTTTGCAGATTCCTCCTGTAGAGGGACAGGCCCGACTTAAAAAGAGTCCCCTGGAATGGCTCCCAGGAGGCAAAGGCCATTCACACTTGGACTTCGCTGCTCTTCTGGGGGTCGGCGGAGTGGCCCAAGCCGCCCGGAAACTTTGGACTCGCGGGGGCCTCCCCCCAGCCCCCCGACCAGCCAGGAGGGGCGCGAGGGAGGAAGAACAGTAGGGGGCCACATGCGAACCCTACCCCTACCCCCTCAGAAATCGTAGGGGGTA